AGTTTTAGAGAAAAGCTTTGAGCAGATTTTTTCTTTTTCTCTTTCTTTTTTTATCATTTTTCTAACCTCCAAGTTAAGATAATTTTTTTTTTTTATAAATGTATATTATAAAATATAAAATTTAATATCAAATTTAATATCATTGTCAAATAGATGAATTTAATTTAATAGTTTATATATTAAACATCAAATTTTATTTTTTTAACATAAATTTATAATAAAAAAATATAATTATTACATTCTTGACTTGTACCTGAAAACCCTTTTACTTTTCCCATCTACATAGACTTTTGAATTTGAGAAAATTTATTTATACATGATTTTTTTGGCGCTAACTATATCAATCAAGCTAATATTAAACTCATAAAATTTAAACCACTGCAAAGCACCTGCCAAAATGATAAAAAGTTCATAGAAAATTTCAAGTTCAAGTCCCTTGTCATTCCATCCTCAACAGCATGTGTATAGATTAGATTGTCGCATATAACGTTAATAATATATAGAAAATCACTTGTATTGTTTAATTAAGGTAATCACCACCCTAGTTTTGTTTAGTAACTAGAGGAAAAGGCCGGGACAGTTTAGATGAAGGGCAAAGTAAATTATTTTAGGTTTAGCTTAATTAGTTAATTATTACATAAAGTCATTAAATATATCTTAATTAAGATCAAACTATATACACTTATGTATTCAAAATTATATATTTTCTAAGATTTGCAAATTCATCACCAACCTACCTAAACATATATCATGTGACTTTAAAATCATTGATTTAATTTGTTTTTGTTGGGGTTTATATGAGCAAATTAAAACAGAGCCACCTTCTAATTATCCTTTGTCTTTCTTAATTCTTCTCCAGACAGACACTGACTTAGATGATTCTGTCCATCTGTGATGTCTTCTCTAATTAATAATTTTCTTTGTTTTGGGTAAACACTCAATAATTTGTTAAAACTAATTAACAAAACGAAATAATTTTTTTATTGTTTGCACTAAAGTTGACAACTGAATGCAGGTTTCACCTTCGATTGTGTGTGAACTCTTTCGTCACCCTTCTCAAAAAAATATAAATATAAATATAATAAAAATCCCTGCGTTTGTGGGTCCCACCTAAATACCATAACAAATGAAAGATGGAGAAGCAACCTCATCCTTGGAAGTTGGAACCAACCTAACTAGCCAACGGTTGGGGCACGCATCAAAAGTTAACAAGCAATAAATAAAGGATTTTTTAATATGTGTTTATACTTATTAAATTTTTTTTATTATTAATTTATATAAAAAATAAAATAAATTTTATTTTTAACATTAATATTATGTGAAATAATTTAAAATTAAATAATTAATAAAATTTAAGTTAATTTTTATTTTTTAATATAGATTAATAATAAAAAATTTTAATAAAGGAAAAATAGAAAACAGAATTAGAAGTCTGTCAGACAACCGTTAGATCACCCCGGGCAAGGGTTGGGCCCTGGCTGAGAACGATCCTCTACGGCATAAATGGCTTGGGAGCCATTTTAGCCATTAATCACGCTATCATCATACGGTCACCATTCATCCACCAGACTTAGGATCCTATCTCCTTTGAACTTAATGACACAGAGGTACGATCAAGGTTTTTAAAATTAGATCGGATTGATCGGTTGAACATGTCAAACCATTACTTGGGAGTAAAAACTGCTCAGTTTATATAGGAGACTCGTTTCTCTGTCAAAACCATTCAAACCTGATGGAACCGGTGGAACTGGTGAAACTAAAAAAATCATTGATTCAATTTAGCATGCAGTCTTCTTATCAATTTCACCCTCACCATTCATTTGTTATACCGGTTTTAACCCTTAATTTCAACAAAATTACAAAATCATCAAAAACTAAATTAGAAACTCAAATTGAAAATGTGAAATCTGAAATTGTTTATGAAAACCCTCGACTCCCAACCTAAGTTCTCTACCTATCTACCCTCTCCCACATCGCCGGCGCTCCACTCCCTCTCTATTGTGTCCGATCTCTGGCGTTGCTCTCTGTTCTCTGCTGATCTGCTCTCACTGAAGCTGCTCTTTGCTTTATGCTGATCTGCTCTTTGCTTTATGCTGATCTGCTCTCACCGAACTGAAGCTACTCTCTACCTTCTGTTGATTTGCTTTCACTGAAGTTGCTTTGCTTTATGCTGATCTATTCTCACCAAAGCTGCTCTTTGCTGTGCTGTCTGCTGATCTACTCTCACCATAAGTCCGAAACTGCTTTCTGTTGATCTACTTTCTTTCACTTCATCGACCCTGATTTCTGCTGGTCTACTTCGATTTTTGTGAACATGATGCATGGTTCAATGAAGATCCTCCTAATTTAAGGAGAAATGAATGAACAAGTCCTTTATTAGTTCATTTTATTTGTATTTGAAACTTCATGAATTGTTATCTATTTGGGTTTAAGCCTTTTTAAGACTTATTGTCTATCTTTTTCTATTTATTTTTGGATTTGAAACTTGTATTACTTGCTTATTTACTTGATTTTTCCATAAATTTTTTGTTTTGAGAATTAGAATTGAGTTATTTGATGAGTTTTCAAGGTAAAAATGTAATATATTTATGTAAAAAAGTTGTTAAAAAGTTGTTAAGGTAACAAGAAATAATGTTGAAGTTAAAGTGTTGAACATTTAAAATTCAGTATGTTTGGAATAGATTCCATTTTGAGAGAGTTGAAAACCCACTATCTCATTGAAAGATTTTATCCATCTGCCCTTTTTCAACGCATTTCTTTAGATAAAGATTCCGTTTTTTCCTCTTTTCAAATGGTAAATATTTCTCATAACATGAAGTGTGAATCAAACCCATGTTTGAATTGAAATTGAGATACTGATGCAAGTTCCTCTCTTTTGAATCAGATGGATTCATATCTGAAAGAGGTTGGGACGTTGCCCCTCAAATCTTACTTTTATGTTGGGCCGATCGGTTGATTGGTTAAATCAATTGAATCAAGAACCAAACTAAAAATGGTTCATTAATTGATTCGGTTTTAAAAACTTTGGGTACGAGCCTATAAAACAGATCCTATTCAAGTAAGGTCGTATCCTTCTCACCTCGTTTACCTTCAAATAAACCGTCTTTGGTTTTTGCAGGGTCTTCGATGTGGGATTTCACTGTGTCTTCCTGTCTTGGGCCGAAGTTTTTAATTAACGGGTTCTTTCTTACTGGGCCCGGTTCCTTTTCTGCATCGTAGGCCAAAGTTCTAATTAACAGCCGGGCCCTTCCTTCCGGGCCTTTGCAAGCCCAGATAATAGATCCACTTCACTTAAGAGATTGAAATGGTTTTTTCTTCTTTTTTTTTTAATCTAAGGAATGGTTCTTCACTATAAAATACTAAAATTCTTTTTTCCTCTTTTTTTTTTCTTTTTGAACAAAGACTGAAATGAATTATATTATAGAAAAATTCATAGAGTTCATTTTGTGAATTATAAAGGAATCTATCTGGACTTACATAATTATAATTATAAAATTTTATTTAACGAAATATCAAAAGATTTGTCGAAATTATCCTCTGACATAACTTTACATGCAGACGTGCGTGGGTCAAGCAATATAAAACCCTGCCATGCCAACCGCAATCTTTGTGGCCCTATATATATAATGTGCTCATAATTGTAGCTAAACAAAATGCTACGTGCATGTGAACATAAAGAAGATATATATATATATATATATATATATTATGGGCTGATATAGGTAGGCGGAGCTAGAGGATAATTGGCGATAATAATACATTTTCGTATGATGCTAAGGCTTAGGATTTCGGACTTACCGACAAAGGTACATGATGGATTGTTAATGGAAAAAAGCTGGTACTGGACGAGATCTAGCTGGCTCTGTCTGGATTAATTAATACAATATTCATATGCTAATTAAGTATACTTAGTATAACCTTTTTTAAAGAAATCCTTATCTCATGATTAAAGAACTAGTCGACTTACGTTATCTTGACTATATGGAAATACTATAAATAAATAAAGAAAACATAAATCTTAATCTATGGTCTCAGTAATAACTCTCTGTTTGACGTTTAGGTTATCGATTAAGGTTTTGAGTTCATATTAATTCATTGATTACACTATTTGAGTGTAAAGGAATTATTTTAAAAAAAAAATTTTTTTTAGAAAAACTAGGAGGATTTTTAAGCTTTTTAATTTGTTTCTTTTAGTACTTCGTATTAACTAGATTATTGTGTATTAATTGTAAGAATTTTTTATTTTATAGTTGAAATTGTAAATTTTGGTTTTAATTGAAACGTTGAGAAAAGTATAAATTACAAAACAATAATTATTACATAAAGTATAGCCCTAATATTAAATAAATTATTTTATTTAATAATTTAAATTCAGTAATATCTTTTTTATTTAATTAAAATTTGAATTTTGACGGGTTGGGTATGAAAAGACATTTCTCCACCGGCACATATCCTAAAGCTAGAGGACATCTGGACATGGTTGAAGCTGGAGCCCAGATCACCGTCCAGCTTGTGACTTTAATGCTGGCCCCATTTATTTATTTATTTTTTTAATTACAGTCCAAATCCAATCCAATAATAGAACAGTAATTGGCAAAAAAGAATACTACGAAATTTTTTAAGCTCATGCAGTACAATGAATTGGCCTTTTTACAATAATTACGTAATTAAATCAGACATATGAATGCATATTCAGTATAAATGAAAATAATAAAAAACAGTTGTACCCCAACTGTACTATAAATCACGGAAACTGAATCAATATCGGCGGCTCTGTTTTGCTGTCTGCAAATTCTAAAGTGGAAAAAGGCAGAGGCAGAGGTCAACTAAGGCAGGCAATGAAGAAAAACACCATCATTTTAAGCAGCACTTTTCTTAGTTCCTTTGATTATAGACTATTTTATCTTTTAAATAAAATATTTTTTTATGGATACTATATATGACAATATATTGAACTATATACGGAATATGGATAATTCCTTAGTTTTTAACACAATGGATTCTGCCCCCCCCCACCCCAAATTTTCCAACAGCCTTTGCCCTCTGTACAGACTCAGAAGTTCGTCTTTTGATTTTTAATTTGTTATGTCATTTTCCCAGATTTACTTAAGGGTCGCTAAACTTATAAAACGAAATTATTTTTTTGTGGGGGTGAGAATAACAAGGGGGAGTTTCTCTTCTGTTCTAACATTGGGAATTGTTTGATGAACCCTCCATGTATTAAAATATGCTTCTTTGGGTTTCTTCTTCCCCTTTTGGAAATTTGTTGGACATCACAAATTCCCAACTGAGAGAGAAAGATGGGTCTCATGATTTGGTCAATGCTAGTAAGCTCCGTCTATCCTTTTCTGTTTGTGCAAATTCCCTACTTGATTGGATTCCTAGGAGAAAGAATCAATGCTTATCCATTCAACACAGTTTAATTGACTAGTTCCCTATTTTGATGCTTAGACTTTTCTATAAATTCCGTCCATAATTCATTTTTTATGAATATGGTCAATTTGTTTGATTCTAGAAGACCCAACTTTCCTTAAAGAATCATTTATTTGTAGTTCTGCGCTTCTAAGATGGGGAATGGAAGACTTCGGATTACTGATTCACAATATGTTTTTGTTACTGACTATAAAAGGGGCAAATTAGATATTTTTTATATAAAGATGGACATTTGATAAGGAAATTGTTCACATGTTTGGACCTAAAAAGGTGGGATGGTCCCCAAGCCTCATGTTTAAGTTGAGTTACTTTATTCGCATGCCTCACATGATTTCTAGAGGGGAAGCCATGGAAGACCTTTTCCGCTCTTTTCTGGCTTTGAGCTCTTCTCTAGTCAATTTCATCCAAGTCATGGTTTGAAGTCTACAGACAGTTTTACTTCTATGCCTTCTTGTACCCTACAGATCAAATCCATTAACTGAAGCTCAGGCAGCAACACCTTCGGAAGGAAAATCATGGGGTACGGTAATTCAAGATCTGTAAGGTATGTCCCTTTGCCCTTGTTCTTAATTTCCCATATGATTTAAAATCTGATTACATTCGTAAGCACTGTTTTTGTTGTAGACTTGTACTTAATAGTTCAAATTACTGGAGAAAGGGTCATGATTAGCATTATTAGTTTTAACATTCAGAAATGAATTTCAGATTTCAGGATGATCTTGATGGAGCAAAGGTCCCCACAATTAATGAAGATGGAATGATTAAGTTTAAATACAATATTGATGGAACACAGGCACCGGAGTTTAACAGGAAGAAGGGGGAGGAGTTGCCTGGGAGAACTGGAAAATTATTGAAAGCTAAAGTATTGTCCAGAGTTTTCTCTGAGGACTTTGACAGAGTGAAGAAGAAGATATTGGATCCTCGAGGACCATTTATTCGAAGATGGAACAAGATCTTCCTAGTAGCATGCTTAGTTTCTTTGTTCGTTGATCCCCTTTTCTTTTACTTGCCGAGAGTTAGAGATGAAGTCTGCATTGATATTGGAATACTGCTTGAAGTTATACTTACCATTGTTAGATCGTTGGCTGATATATTCTACACAATTCAGATTTTCATTCGTTTTCGAACAGCTTACGTCGCTCCTCCTTCTCGTGTATTCGGGAGAGGAGAGCTTGTTATAGAATCTGGGAAGATTGCTTCAAGGTACCTTAAGAAAGGCTTTTGGATTGACCTCATTGCTGCCTTACCCCTTCCTCAGGTATTTCTAAAGCAATGAAATTTGGTCAATTTTCACATCATTCTAATGATCTTATGGCATTGATTTCTGGCGCCCATTCCAGGTATTGATTTGGATTGTCATTCCCAATCTTGGAGGCTCAACGATGACCAACACGAAAAATGTGCTTAGGTTAATAATCATTTTTCAGTACCTCCCTAGACTCTTCCTTATATTTCCACTTGCATCCCAAATTGTAAACGCCACGGGAGTTGTGACAGAAACAGCATGGGCCGGTGCTGCTTACAACCTAGTTCTCTACATGTTGGCAAGCCATGTAAGTACCTGCTAAACCCATTTTTGAGAAGATCTTTTTTGAGGGATTCATCCTGCTGATTTCGACTTTTCCTTTGAAGGTTTTAGGAGCTTGCTGGTATCTTCTTTCAATTGAGAGACAAGAAGCATGCTGGAAAAGTGCTTGTGATCAGGAAAGACCTTTTTGTGAGCATAAATACTTTGATTGCCGTTGGCTTAAAGAATCTGGAAGAAATTCTTGGTTCAAGTCAAGCAATATCACAAATCTATGCAATCCAAATGAGAGCTTCTATCAGTTTGGCATATACGGTGATGCATTGACAACTGATGTCACAACCTCACCATTCCTCAACAAGTACTTTTACTGCCTATGGTGGGGTTTAAGGAATTTGAGGTATGCTGTTTCCCTGAAATCAGCATTTCATATCCTTTCTGAAACAGGATTTAGTACCGTGATCTTATGGAAAAATAGAAGCATTTGTTGCTTAAAGAGTCTAACCTAATGTTCTGTTCTTGACATGTTTAGTTCTCTGGGACAAAATCTTGCCACAAGTACATATGTTGGGGAAATAATTTTTGCTATCATTGTTGCGATTCTTGGACTAGTTCTCTTTGCATTGCTCATTGGTGATATGCAAGTAAGTCCTCCTTTAATTCTCTAAATGTCATGGCAAAAATCAAGAAATAGTTTATCCGTTTTTGGTAATTTCTGATTCTGAACTATAATTTAATTGGCAGACATACCTCCAATCGATGACTGTTAGGCTAGAAGAATGGAGAATCAGGAGAACTGATACAGAGCAATGGATGCGCCACAGGCAGTTGCCTCAAGAATTAAGGCAATCAGTAAGAAAATATGATCAGTACAAGTGGCTAGCCACTAGAGGAGTTGATGAAGAAGCCCTTCTCAAAGGCCTTCCCTTGGACCTCCGGCGTGACATCAAACGTCATCTGTGTCTTGATCTCGTCCGAAGAGTAAGTTCCTAAAATGAAAATTAATACATCATTCATAGACACAACAATCTCTATCCATTACAGATGAAGGCATGAATAAGGCTAGAAGTAGTTGGAATAAGGCTTTTCAGATACATTTTAAGATGAAAATTGAGCAACGTAAGTTTGATATGAATATATTTGTCAAATAAACAGGTGCCACTGTTTGATCAAATGGATGAAAGAATGCTAGATGCCATCTGTGAGAGGCTTAAGCCAGCATTGTCCACTGAGGGCACGTTCCTTGTCCGCGAAGGTGACCCTGTCAACGAGATGCTCTTCATAATTCGAGGCCATCTTGATTCCTACACCACGAATGGTGGCCGGACTGGATTCTTCAACTCATGCCGGATTGGCCCTGGTGACTTCTGTGGTGAGGAACTGCTGACATGGGCATTGGACCCGCGTCTAAGTGTCATCCTCCCCTCCTCCACCAGAACAGTCAAGGCAATATCTGAAGTGGAGGCATTTGCTCTTAGCGCAGAGGACTTGAAGTTTGTTGCATCGCAATTTAGAAGGCTACATAGTAAGCAACTAAGGCACAAGTTCAGGTTCTACTCCCACCAATGGAGAGCATGGGCTGCCTGCTTCATTCAAGCAGCCTGGCGCCGGTTTAAGAGGCGAAAGGAAGCAGCAGAACTCAGAGCCAAGGAGAACCTCCAGACTGCTGAACCCGAACCACTCTCCACCACTCCAGGTTTGACCATGTATGCAGCAAGGCGAGCAGCTAGCACTAGGAGGGGTGCCATGCATTCCAGGTCTGAGTCTGGTGTTGTCAGCCCACTGCAGAAACCGGCTGAGCCAGATTTTTCTGTAGATGAGGAATGAACCATAACATTTCTGAATAAAGCATTTTTCATACTGATGAGCAGCGAATCTGTGAATCTCTTTCCTTTTTTTTT